GCCACTTTCAGGCCCGTGACGTTTTCAGGCCAAAAGCCTGAAAACAAGGGCCTACAGGCCCCGTGTTGTTTCAGCCTGAAAGCCTGAAAACAAGGGCGTACAGGCCCTGGGTCATTTCAGCCTAAATCAGGGCCTTCCGGCCCTGAGTCTTTTCACCCTGAAACTGAGGGCCATTTTCAGCCCTCATCAGATCGACCCGCCCTGAAACTCAGGCACCAAACCAGGGTTTTAGCACAGGCCATTTTGGGCCTGTTTTCAAGACAACCCCTGGTTGAGCTTCAACGCCAGGGTCTGGCACGTTTCGGCATTCGCAAGAGCAGCCTCCTGGACAGGCCAGCACTATCTAGGACTGGCCCGCCCTGCAGGCTGGTGGGCAGTTCCTAGGTACTTCCCAGGCACTTCACGTGCAGTTCAGGAGGCAGGAGGTAGTCTTCAGGATTCGGCAGCAGCACTCTGGAGGAGCGCTGCAGTAGTAGTTGTAGCGCTAGCAGTAGTCTTCAGCGCTGGGCGCTAGCAGCGTTAGCAGTAGTCTTTAGCGCTGGGCGCCATAGGAGCTAGAGCAGTACTAGAGAGAGAGAGATTGGGCGGAGGCCAAGGAGATTTACCTGCAGCGCCATAGCTCAAGCTTCGTCTTTGAGGTACCTGCAGCACAGCGCCAGCTTCACAGGTTAGTACCTGGCACGTGAGAGAGAGAGAGAGTTCTTCTTCTTCCTCTTCTCAGTCCACCATCTCCCTCTCACCCTCTCGCTATCTGACTTCACTGCATCAGCAGCCTACGAGAGAGAGAGAGAGAGCCTGGTGACATTTGGATCTAGACTCGATGTTGGGCTTCGGACATTTTGACGAGGGATTATTTGGGACTTGTAACGAAGACTTGGTGTTGACGACTTTCCCATCTTCCCCCCTCCTCTTCTTCGTCTGTTCCCCTCCTCTTCGTCTGTGCATGATCAGGGCCTGGCGCATTCTTCCTGTGTGTAGCGCCAGGCCTCCTTCACACCTTGTGATGAAGATGATGTATGTTTAGTCTGCATGGCAACATTGATTGGGCTCGTCATTGGTATTCTAGCATTCTGCTGCGCTATCTTGTACTACCTGAGAGAGGTCAGTTCCGGTCAGGTCATATCTAAGTCTTCCCCTGCGCTATAAAGCACCATCTTTGTATGTATCAGAAGGTACATTGCTCGTTGAGATTCTACTCGCACTGCATTGTGCATTCAGTCCTTTTCATCACTTTGCGGTCCTTGGTTTTCATATGTGCATCGCCCAACTGGGCATGTATCAGCCAGCCAGATATGTACTCCTAGCAAGTACAGAGCACACCCTCCTCCCCTCGTTCACCTTTAGAGGTCCGATTCAGATGCTTCATACCTCTCTCTCAACAGCACCACTCACTCTTAATCAGTGCCCAACATCAGGTCCATGGTGTGCATTCACATCCTTGAGTGCCAGAGAGTAGGAGGAAGAACTGTAAGATTGGACCAGTCGAGCATCAGCCAAGCCGCAAATCGCCCAATCTGCAAACAGGTAACCCCTCTTTGCCCACAAGCCTGCTCAATTTATAGCTATCTTGGGGGGCCCTGTGAGGTATGGCCAAGACAGCGAGGGCTG